GATATACGAGTACGAGATGTTAGAAATCAAATCCAAACTCCAAGCATTCGGCGTCACTTTGACAGACTGCGGCGGCGCCGATGGATGAATCATATTTCCGTTTTAATCGGCGCGCGGACATTATGTGGAAAATAGCAAGCGAAGAAATAAAAGGATAAACAAAATGCCGTAGCTATGAAACCTTGTTTGGGTGGCGTATACAAGGCAAATTTCCTTCATCAGACTTTCAAATCCATGATGCGTTGTTTAAACGTAAGTGTAGAAGAGAAACTTCTAAAAAGCGTCGAATCGTTTTGGAATATTGAATCTATAGGAATTAAAAATATTTCTGACGAAGAACAAATGAAATAAATGGCCTTGCAAATATTTAACAACTCGAATTACACAAAAGGGTGATAGATACGAAAGTTAGACTTCCATGGGAAGATCAGAATGTGACTAAGTGACAATTTTAAGAATGCTGTAAGACAATTCTTTAAATCTGATCGAAAACAATTTAAATCAAATTTGAACTTTTATGCGCAATATAAAGGAAGTTGATTGATACTATCAGTTTTAAGGAAAAATCAATAGTTTTCAAAGGTCCGATCTTGGTAAATCTTCGATCCTGGGAGACGAACTTACTACATATCTCACCGTGCTGTCATCCGTGAAGATCATAATTCTACGAAACTTCGCAATTGTTTATGAGCTTCTTCAAAGGAAAAAAGTCATTAATCTGTAAATGATAATTTACTACAAGGACCAAATCTTCTTCCTGAACTTTTGAAAGTTTTAATAAATTTTCGACTTCATCGAATTTCATTTACATCAGATATTGAGAAAGCGTTTTTACAAATTTCTGTTGCACCTGAAGATCGGGATTCAATGCGATTTTTGTGGATTAATGAGAATTCAAGTTTGAGCAATCCGAGAATTCAAGTTTATCGGATGTGTCGTGTAATTTTTGGAGCAAAATCAAGTCCATTTTTGCTGAGCGCTTGCATTAAGCATCATATAAAGAAATTTGAAGACATCCATCCCAGAACTGTAGAAATGTTAGAAAACTTCATGTATGTTGACAATTTTATTTGTGGATCAGATACGGAGGAGGAAGCTATACAGATATATCATGAAGCCAATGATATAATGAAAAAGGCATCAATGACTTTGACCAAATGGAATTCTAATTCGGATACTGTAAAAAAACCAGTATAAATCAAGTGACAACTTCGTTAACTTTAAATTGCCTGACTGTGATTCCCCCTCAAAGATTCTTGGACTTCAATGGGATACAATTAAGGATATCTTCTGTTTTAATGCACAAGACGTTATTGATTTCATTCAGTCAAATGACCAAACAAAACACTGTGTGTTAAAAGCTGCTTCAAAAATCTTCGATCCTGTTGGGTTTCTTGCTCCATATGTTATTCAAGCAAAAGTTCTGTTTCAGGATTTATGGCTGAAAGGTGTTGATTGGGATGAAATTATCCCACCAGAATTGCAAGACAAGTGGAATAAATGGTATAGGCAACTATGTGATCTACCTAATATCCAGATACCTCGGTGGTATTTTCGTGATGTTGATGAAACACTGGAACTACAGTTGTTTTTGTGATTCATCTCAAAGTGCTTACGGAGCAGCAGTGTACGTGAAATTCCGTAGCTTAAAATATTGTGGAACAAGTTTAGTGATAGCCAAGAGCAGAGTGACACCCCTGAAAAAATTATCTTTACCAAGACTCGAGCTCATGGCAGCAGTGTTAGGTGCAAGACTTGTAACTACAGTCCGTGTGCATTTTACTCAAGCTAAGATTCATTTATGGACAGATTCTCTTATTGTGCTTCATTGGATAAAGAACTCACCACGGCGATGGAAAACATTCATACAAAATCGAGTGTCTGAAATTCAAGACAAAACATCCCCGAGCATGTGGCATCATTGTCCTGGCTCAGATAATCCAGCCGATAAAATTACACGCGGTGTTAAAGTGAGTGATCTTATAGTAGATTGAGTGTGGTGGCATGGACCTCCATGGCTTCATCAAGATGAAATAAATTGGCCTAAAGTGAACAAGCATTGTAGCATAGTAGATAGTGTTGAAAGAGTTGTGACTCAAGTTACTAGCAGTGTTCAACCTTTACAACCTGTGTTAAAAATAGAAAACTTTAGTGACTTAGGTAAACTTTTAAGAGTCATGTCATATGTATTTAGATTCATTAATAATTTAAAGTCACAGAATAGAGTGATTGGTCCTGTGACCAAAAATGAAATATGTAACGCTATGTGTTATTGGATTATCTTATCACAAGGTGAGTATTTTTTTGAAGAGTTGAATGATGTTAAATGTAAAAAACCATTGTCTCATAATTCCAAATTGTTTGGGTTAAATCCAGTAATGGATGAAAAGGGTTGTTTAAGAGTTGGAAGTAGATTAGTGAAATCATCATTAGATGTCGATGAAATTCAGCCTATAATATTATCAAATAATTATTTTTTCTCGTTTAAATTATTTTGAATTGTCATGAAAAGGTACTTCATAGTGGTGTAAATGAAACTTTAGTGCAAGTAAGAGGGAAATTTTGGATTTTAAAAGCCAGACGTTTTGTAAAATCTGTGTTACATGATTGTAGATTTTGTAAAAAATATAATGCTAAAGCTGGACACGAGATATCGGCTCCTCTTCCTGCTGATCGAGTGGAGAAAGCTCAACCATTTGAGGTAAGTGGCATAGATTTCGCTGGCCCTTTGTATTTAAAGGATGGTACAAAAGTGTATATTTCATTGTTTACCTGTGCAGTGACTCGAGGAGTCTATTTAGAATTGTTATCAAATTTAAGTACAGAGTGCTTCATTCAAGCCTTACGTAGATATTTTGCACGTAGGGGTATTTGTAGAGTTATATATTCTGATAATGCTAAAACCTTTAAGACTGCTGATCGTGAATTAAAATATTTGTATAAATTATGTAAAGATGAAAAGGTTCTAAATTTCCTTGGTAAAAATGGGTTTGAATGGAAATTTATTGTAGAAGGTGCTCCTTGGTGGGGCGGATTCTGGGAACGTTAGGTAAGATCTGTAAAAACTTGTTTAAAACGTATCTTAGGTAAAGCTTCTTTATATTATGAAGAACTGTATACTGTTTCAGAAGTCAAACAACAAAAATCAGCGTTATATTTACAAAATTATATTTACAAAATTTTACTGTATACTGTCTTAATTGAAGTTGAAGCTGTTATTAATTCTAGACCTATAACTTATGTATACAATGAACCAAATGAACCTGATCCTCTTTCACCATCTCATTTTATAACTGGATCTAGATTAACTGTTTTACCTTCACCTGAATCTAAACTAGAATCTACAAGATCTCAGTTGATTAAAAGATGGAAGCATAGGCAATTAACATTAGAGCATTTTTGGAAAAGGTTTTATAAAGAATATTTGTTAGAATTAAGATCAGTTATGTTTTCAAAACCTCCAAAGAATTCTCCCGTGTTTTAAATTAATGATGTACTTGTACGAGAAGATAATGTGAAATGCTGTAACTGGAAGATAGGTAGGATTAAGGAATTATTTCACGGAAGAGATGATAGAATTAGATCTTGTGAGATTCAGTTAGATAAGGGTGTTGTTAGAAGACCAATTGAAAGACTTTATAATCTTGAAGTTCAATAAAATTGATGCATGGGGGGGAGTGTTAAGTTTAGGATTATATATCTTTAGATTGCCAATAGATGGCGGTAGTGTTTGTTTGTAAAAAGAAACTGTGATGTCAATTATGTATATGTATCAGTTCGTCTTTGGTGTTCGTGAATAAATGTTGTGTGGAAGAACGCTCCTCTGTTTATTACTTTAACTGCGATCCAGTCTGATTTATTAGAGATTTACACATATTTTGTTTACTCTTAATTTTATGATTTTTAGAATTTAACTGGCCATCGCTATCTCCAGATTTGAAGTTCTCGTTTTTTCCCTCGGGCTACTTAGAAGAAAAATATATGTAAGTCTCGAATCATACAGCAGCTTGAAACAAGTCTTCGAAGATCAAGTCTAGAAACAGGACCCGAAATTCTAACAAGACTTATGGAAAAAAAAGTCATGTCCAGCCGTATAATAGTCTCCATTTTCCAGCTGTTATTTTCAAAACATAAATATAAACATTTTCATAAACTGTATTTAGTGTTAAGAACGACAAAAAAGTAAGTAGCGTTAAAAGAAAAAAAGTTATTATTTAAATTATAACGTTGATTTTGTGTGACACTACACAATTTAGCATTTCTTAGTTAAAAAAAAGGCCAGGCTACACAGGCTAAGAAGTCTTCTTTTGTAACAAATATTAGACAAAGAACGCGAGATCTATGCAATCTGTCCAAGGAAAGAGAATTTCAAAAGAAACCGTCCCGTAATCACGTTGGAATTTGGATTCTTGTCGAACTGCCAGTATTAAGAGATTTTACCTCTCAACCGCTGATGTTTGTAGCAAAAAGTATTTAGCAGAATTAATTCGCAAGAAGGTTTGGTTGCAGTACGATATTTCATTGTATTACGATACTTAATTAGGATAATTAATGTGAGGCTGCCTCACATTACTACAGCCATCAGTCGAATAGAAATTTCTCTAGTGGGTCTCAAAAAACTCTGTTCCCGTTATTGAACTTTTAACAAGTACTGAATTAACGCAATAAATGATGCCTTTTTATCATATGACTTCATATTTCATTTATTTTTTGTTGGTAGTATTCAGGAATTCATAAGCTGCTTATTATCAAATGGTCTTTTCTTGTTGGAAGCATTGCCAACAAAAATATAGTTTATGTTTAAAGATAGGTTTGTTTATAGAATAATCGCTTTTGAGTTATTTATGAATTGACAGAGTATTTTTATACATCCGATTTATAGCTTTTCACCAAATGCGTTGAGGTGCGAAATACAAAATGACATTAATTGGTGTATTTCCATTCTTTATAAAATATAGTCTCGTATACTTCGACGTCATGATTTCCCTGCATTCCCTGCAAAAGTTGTACACGTCAGGTTGAAGTCATTTTGTAGATTTGAAGTTTGTTTTTACTTTAATTGACTTCAATGTTTCTTCCGATTGCGTGAAGTATGTGATAATGACCAGAGTGTGTCCAAGATCTTGCAGCCTCTTGGCCAGCGCTGTGTTATATATTTCAACCGGTATAATTCAGTTAGGTGCTGGTGTTATTTTATTGAGATCGAATTATGCGCCATTACTTGTTGGCCCGGATGTGTGGACAGCTCTTTCGGTGAGTCATATTTTTGAGTTGTGTTCTGTTATTTATCATTTGTTTTTGCATTGCGAATGTAAATAAACTGACATTCCTGGTATTGAGGTTTCGAAATGTTGCTGTTTTGGATTTTATGTTTTTTTCTGATCGTGTTTCAGTTCACGGTGAGAGCGGCATGTACCGCCAGAGACCCAGCAACCCCAAAACATTGTAATTTTAGTAAATCGAGAAATGGCTCTAGTGTAGAATTGGGTGCCCCTTCGATTGGCGACAATTTTTTTTTTAATTTTGGGGATGAAACCTCACTTCTGGTTACCACGATAGTTTTAACTTTGTTTTAGCCTCCCGATTTTATTTAAATGAAAATAGATTGATGTGTACATGGACATATTTAAAGCAGTGCGCAATGCCTAGTTTGTGCAATTCTAGGATGTTTTTTAAGTAAAAACAGATCGATGTGTACATGGACACAGATCTTGTGCAATTCTTTACTTCTTATTTTGGTTTTGTGTAGCGGCCATTTTGAAATTGTGCCTATCTGGCGCCGATCTTGGCGTCAAAAAAAGAATCGCCAGTAAACAAGGGGCACCCAATTTTAAACGTTTACCCGAGAAATTAATACTCAACTATTTTAATATCGACTTTTGCCGCATTTACTTAAACGAAATGTCTTAAATCTAACAGCTCTTGAAGCAATGTTTTCTAGATCAAATATGTATTATCGTTAAAACTCCGCAACTAATTGATTAAACAGTTCTTAAAATTGTGTGACCTTTGAAGCAAGAACACGATTATAGTGGTTTTTATGGTTTTAAATTAAACTGTAAATTCTCTCAACCATACTGTTTTAAGATTTACGGATAATCGTATTTTTAGTGATGAGAATATTTACGCCTATTAAAAGTGAAACAACAGTCGATTACGAATTGCATCTTTAAGAATTTTAAGCACGCAATGGCTATCTTTCTATAGAAAGGAATGCCTTTGTAGAGAACGATTGAAGGGAATTGGCTCTTATTAACGTTACATATGTAGTAAACACAAAGACTCTGTTGGTGTTACTCATAGTCAGTTTGCTGGGATATAAACCTAGATCGAACCACCAATGTTAGGATTCTGCTGCTTCCTGCTGACGAGTCTACTGGCTAGTTTGATTTGGTTTCATTACCGGCAAATGGGCTAGCTGCAAGGATGTTTTTATAATTTTCAGTCTACGTTTTGGTTTGGATTAGTTAATTATGCCAAGGCATACTCCTTAGGCTATTTGTTTAAGGATAGGAGGAATTTCTTAGGAAAATTGGTTCAGATAAACGTGGTAAAAACCACGAAAAACGCTCATGCAGCCAGCCTGTTTGTTTGGATTCGAACCCAGGTCGAAACTACCAGTGTTCAAAGATTTTACTTCTTGGCTGCTGGTGGGCCCTTCTCTCTTGGTAACTTAAATAAAACCCGAATCTTTGGAATATGGTAACAGGTAGTTTGGCGACATTTTGGTAAGGCGATAAAGGTTACTAGCTAGGACTTTAGCACTGTACATGGATAAAGTCAAGAGTGTGCGTAGTGCCATTTTTGTGAAATTCTGGGATGTTTTTTTAAGTGAAAATAGGTCGAAGTGTATATGAATACCGTGTACGTGCAATTCTTAAAAACGCGGCAAACAGTTTTCGATTCTGCACTTTCTCCCAATTTCGCACCTAATCTTTGTCATGATTAAGCACTTTTGTTCCATAAAAGTTCTAGCATAAGCGTAATTCGGCTAGCAGATTGTTGGAAAAAAATGTTGAGTTAAAAAAAAAAATGCCTTTACTTCGTGAAAACAAAATGGCGTCCAAACAAAAACTAGCAGGTTGCTGTAGCAGGGTTGGTCGCCAAAATTTTCGCCAAAAAATCGCCAAGTTACCATAATCCAAAGGTTAACCCCAGTTTCTGTAGAAAAGTCCTCCATGAAAGTAGCCTATCTCTTAAGCAGAACTCGTAGGTTTAATCCTAGTATACAGTACACACGGGATTTAATGACATTATGATGATTAGTAAACGCTGTGTTTATGATGAGCAGTAAATGGGCCATTTTGGTATTGGCGATTGTATTCTTTGCCTAAATTATTCAGTCATCCTCTTGGAGAGGGTCTTGATTGAAGAATTATAATGCTGAAATTATGACAAAGTACAGTATCTGTTTTCTTGGAGGCAAATTTATAAATTTTGATGCACGAACTACGTAATAACCTTAGGGTGCTTTTGCATAATCAAGCTCTCCAATATATGCATTTATTATTTTACTACTATTAGATATCATGGTTATGCTAAATCTACTATTAACGTGGAGGCGTTTTAAAAAAAAAATTATGTCTACTCTGTAAGTTATTTTGAGGACAGGTACTTCGATTTTAATTAAAGTACCACATTTAAAGAACTGTTATTTTGTATCACGATATTACCCTTTCAGTTTAATCCTACGCTGTAGTGTATAATTGGGTGCCCCTTCGATTAGCGACAACTTTTTGAAAAATTTTGGCGATGAAATCTCATTTCTGGTTACCATGTTAGTTTAACTTTGCTTTAGCCTCCTGATTTTTTTAAAATAAAAGTAGGTTGATGTGTACATGGTCAATTTTAAAGCAGTGCGCAATGCCTAGTTTATGCAATTCTGGGATGTTGTCTTAAGTGGAAACAGATCGATGTGTACATGGACACAGAGTTTATGCAATTCTTTGACTTCTTATTTTGGTTTTGTGTAGCGGCCATCTTGAAATTGTGTCTTCCTGGCGCCGATCTTGGCGTCAAAAAAGAATCGCCAAGAAACAAGGGGCACCCAATTGTAAACTTTTACCTAATCCTATTCGGCGACATTATGATGAGCAGTAAACAAGTCAATTTGGTGCTGGCGACAATTTTCAAAATCGCGGCAAGGCCGTACCGTATACTAAGATTTTACCGCTCCTTTTTTTTTTTTTTTTTTTTTTAAAGCCCAGAAGGGCTATTAGTCTGAAAACGGCATTTTGCGTGAAATCAGTTTTCAACTTGCTGCCACCAAATATTATCGCCTTGTATTACATTTAAAAAGCTAAATAATGAAGAATCTACGTGAATGTATGTATGTATGTTTCTCGCATTGTGAAACAACAACGGTACCTAAAGTCATCAAATTTTGAATAACATAGGACTTCATCTGAACATGGCCACCTGGAAACCCGAATTTGGAATTTGTTTTATTATCTATTTCATATTTTGTAAAACTTTAACGAATTTTTATTAAAAAATCAACAATTTCAAAGCAAGCAGTGGCAACACTGTAGGGAATAAATACTTTTAATCTCCAACGCGCGAGACTGTCTGTCGGAAATTCTAAAGATATGCTGTTTTTAAATATTTTAGCCCAATGTGGCGTTACCCTGAATGCTCTCGAAACGTGTAGGTGTCTGAAAAAATAATCTGTTTGGGCGTAATACAGAATGTGAAAGCTTTCAGATTTTTTTCCCTCCAAATCTTCAGAATGCAGCTTTCTTCTAATGTTCCAAAATGGGTTACATATATTTTTAAATGAATAATTCCTAACTGTGCATTAGTATTTAAATATGCTGGAATGGAATTTTTAAAATTTTCAAAACATTGGAATCAATTTTTTTATTGTACTACTTCTGTGGTTTTATAAATGTTTCTAGTTTGCTTTAAACATAATTCATGTATTTTCATATACTGAATCTAGAAACTACTTCCTCATTTTGGTAGAAAAAAATTCACAAAAAACGTCAGATTTTAATAATTTGCAGTCTTAATTACTTTATCAACTTTTAGAAATGAAATTGCCAGATTAACAAATCAATAAATTTGGGATTGATTTCGTTAGCTTGTCTTATATTTATTGAACCAAGTTTAAGACTCATTAAAATTATGTGAAATAAATTTTAGAAAATGCACAATGTTACTTAACCAAGACAGAACAAGGAAAATGGTTTTGAAGTTCTAGATACTGGGAATTCGGATAACTAGAGTTTTGTTCATTTATTTTTTAAGTAGGCTGTAACTAAATTGCTTTCTGGAATGCAGAAGTTTTAATCAAGTTGATCAGATTCTTTTTTTACCATTTCGGCCATCTGGAAATTGTTACGAGTGGAGAGGGTGAAGGATATGTGTTCATATTATGGATGCAATAAACTAATACTTAATAAGCTTAAATTAAACTTAGCCCTTCAACTCGTTACCGTGCGAGACAGTTCTGGGCTCTTTTAATTGGTTTTATGTATGAATGTCTCTTTGCTTACATTGGATCTAATCATGTCTATTTCTGCGTCGTCAACATTTGTAGGAAATACGTGACCGCCATTTTTAATGCTTTGCACTGGAGAAGTGACTCTCGGTTACCACTTGATGCGATAACAGGGCTCGTAGCCGTCCTTATAAGTGCTTTTAAGTCCTTATATTTGAAAATAAAATATAAAGGCCCGTATAGGTGCTTACGTTTTCTTTAAAGCCCTTATTTTTTTTGTTTTTAGTGCTTATTTTTTGCTTTTAGTGCTTATTTTAATGAACGCGTATTTTTCCTCCCGTACCAAAGCCGAAACTAAATAAACAACTTTTCTTCCTTATATGGAACGTCAGATGGTGAATCCTACTCCCGGAAATAGTTTTCCCCCCTTTCTCTGCTTTAACGTAACCTATGGTACGCGCGAGAGTATAGACAGGTGCACGTCGTTTTTTTGGTCAAAGAATTGCGAAAACCGTAGAAAATTCCGGTAATTCGGTATTCTTTTCCGCCCACCCAAATACTACACACGTTTGAATTTCTATCAAGATTTTAATAATTTGCATTCTCGTTCCGCGTGGTCAGTTCATATTCGTGTTTATTATGATCGTTATGCTTATATTATGAGCATATGTATGAATATTTATAGAAATATAGTTGCAGTAGCTGCCTGAAGTGTAGATAAACTTCCAAAAATGGGTGTATTTTTACACAGATTAGCTTTCTAAGGAATAATATTCGGAATGGCTTAAATAAAAGGAAAGTAATCGAATAGTCAGAATATTTCCCCTCCCCCCAATACATTATACAGTACGGAGGTTGGGAGGTTCTCCCCTTTCTTCTCAAAATCTCTAATATTGAAGCAGCGGACTTTTTTTTTTTTTTTTTTTTTTTTTTTTTTTTGCCACTGTCCAATCTGGATTGAATAGGACTAAAAGTATTGCGCTCTACCGAACCCAAGCGAAGAATGAAAATTGCGGAAATTTAACGCAATCTGTTCAAAATTAGAATCAAAAACACCCCAGATTAGTCTCTTTCTTTTCCTTTATTTAGTTCTTTATTCTCCGAGTACCGGCAGCTGTTGATTCCGATTGCGAAATATCACATATGGAACAATTACGCCGCACGTATTGCGCAATAATGTTTGCGATATTTTACAGAGATAATTAATTTTGATGTTCAGTTCCAGATTTATTTATGAACACTTAAGAGTTTTACTGTGCTTTCTAAGCAGAATATTTCTCAGTTCCGAGTGTCTATTTTTATATGATGCACATATCGAAATGTCAAAATCATTTATTTAGCCGAGAAATCTAAAGAACGGCTACAATCTCCCCCCTCCTCTTTTTCTAGTTACGCTCGAGTATACGAAATATTCGGCAATTTCCGAGTATGCGGGTTAGTTAAGCTTTTACTGTTTAAGGATGACTGCATGAAGCAATTTCCCGTCTCATTTCAGAAATGTTCCTCTTTGTTACTTAAATTACTTTGCTTGGAATATATGTTAAGGGAAAACTGTTATGCAATGAAAATTTAGAAAATGTTCAGAATTTTGATTTAAATTATTTAAATATTAATATGAGTGGGAAAATAAATTGTATTTATTATTAGATGCCAAGCGAATACAATTAAAATATGGCTTATTATTATTTATTTTCTATATTTTGAACTGAAATTTCATCATTAAATCTTGTAATATAGTTTAGTTTTGCATAGTTTTTTTTTCTCTCATTGTAAACTAATTCTGTAAATTGAACTGTCATTTAAAATTTAAAAAAAAAAAAAGTTGTTTTCCATAGTTGAGGTAATGCTCATTCTCTTGATAAATATTGCATTGCTCATATTTTAAATTGCAAGTCTAATTTTTCTTTTAAGGTTATGCAGTTGTGTATAATGTAATTAGACAGGTGCTTATTTTTTTCTTAAAATGTGCTTGAAAAATGCTTATAGGTGCTTATTTTTTTAACTAAAATGTGGCTATGAACCCTGGATAATTCGAGAGGTGACTTTCAATTACCACTCGATTTGATGCGAAAATTCGAGCGGTAACAACTTTTATTCAATTTTGGTTTGGGCAGCATCGCTTTCATGAGCGTATTCAACAACACATGCGTGTAAAACAAAAATAACTTCCAGTGTTTAATCTTACATACGTTTTTTAGATTTATTGTTATATATATGGGTCTTTGATATTAATTCGAACTTATATAGTACGTGGAAATAGGAATATTATTTTCAACATTACAGAGTCCATGGAATGCGATGAAACATGGAAGCGACGAAGGAATCAGTTCACGTGAAGATGAGTTCGATTTTACGTTGATGAAGAATAAAATTACATGTATTCATAGACTTCTTGACAATAGAGGAAAGCAGCGATGAAGTAAGAGTTTTAAGAAGTCGAAAAATCACAGTAATAATGGATGTGAAAGCGACAGAAGACACAAAAAATTCAGAATGGATAACGTGTTCAGAATCCGAAGAAATTCGACAATGCCATTTTTATCCGACGGACGGAAAGTATCTTCAGACATAAAAGAATCATCAGATTGCTGTGAAATCATTTTAAGTTAGCTGTAAGAAATTCATGAAATGTGAGGAAAATCACATCGCGTTGCTGGTGTTCGCCCGAGCGAAGAAGGCCTCGAATGAAAATGGTTAATTATTATCTGTAAGTAAATAATTAGGTTTAATACATGCAGAGTAAGAGTCAGGAGGTTTAAATTCTGAACGACTCTAATAGATGCAGAATATATGGTGGTAAAAACGTCTATTACTATAAAATTATATTGCTGCTGATGATAAAATTATCAATTTTAATAAAAATTATTAAGATCTTAAATTATATTATTTAGGTTTTCATTGTTACTTAAGGCCTAGACTTTATTGGTGATAGTAGGATATTCCTAAGATTAGTTTTGATGGAAATCCCCTGAGCCATAGAACTTAAAAGTATCCTACCCTCTCTTTTCACATCACGAAAGAGCTTTGTGATGTTCAAAGGAAATTTGAGAGCTCTGAAAAATTCTCTACACAATTTTAAGTGTTCTTGTGCCGCAAAAAATCTACATATATACAGGCATTCATGTCTTCTCCGAGATTCAAGCCGATCTGAAGATTACACAAGTCGGCATTGAGGTATTTTTAGTCAATTTGAAGGCAGATAAATAGACTTTTCTGCTGCTTCGGCGTACTGATTGGATTTTCTTCTGGTAATCTATTCTTCTAACGAAACTAATCCATTAATGAATGCAGAGTTACACACAAAACAACATTGAATGCAGGAAATTTTAAAATGCAGTTATTTACATGAAGTGTCACAAACGTAGATAGTACCTGATAATTAATTAATTTTGTTTTGAAATGTCAAAACAAAATAAGTTAATACCACTGACGGTGTAAAGGTCATTATCGTGAGTTGATGTGGTATGGACATCATTTGCGTTTACAAATTTTTGATTCTGTGTTTGTTGTTATTTTGATGTATTAAAAGTTTTAAAATTGTTATTACGCATTTGCCTATCATATTTATTTTGTAAAAGTTATTTTATTGAAAAATTTGAATAAAACCTTAGATTTAGTATTTTTCCTACTTTATTTGATATCAGTTCTATTGTAACTTTAAAAATAAAAATAAAAGTGCATGCCTTTAAGGGTTAAGCTCGAAAAATACGTTTAGGAGCATTTAAGACTAATGTTGGGGGAAAGAAGAGGGAGTAAATCGTAAAGTAATGTAAAGCCAAATTATTTAAAAATAACAATGGCACAATATCCCTGTAATTAAATTATTTTTAAAACTTTAAAATTTGTACTCTCGTATCTTGTTGTTTTCTTAGCTGCGAATCAATACCGATGATTTTGTCCAGACATTATTAAATAAAAAAGGTTATTTCAAAATTCCCTAAATCAAACAATTTCGGATACGACAGGTTATTGGAGAGAGCAGCAATAGTAAACATCTATGCAGTAAGCACAGATTTTTCAGCTTAATCATTCTATCCAATTATATTAAAATACTCTTTCGTCATTTATTATTCAAAATTTTAATTATTCTTTAGAGAAAAAATTTCAATTTAGTTTTACTAATAGAGCGAAATGTCGAGCAGCAATAGGCCTAAATTAAGATACAGCATAAAATGCCATATAAAAGTTTAATGAGGCAATTGTGGTTATCATTTTGGCATAGTTTCTTATAAGTTCAGTTGATGATAACTGCAATCGAATTCTGATTTTGCATTTTATAGGCTTCTGTATTTTGTTATAATAATGTATTTTATTCTTTATTGTTGTTTTTCATTCTGTATTTCTGTTCTGGTACTTGTATTAAATTCCACTTTTCATATAGTTGGAAAAAGCAGCAATATTAATTTTGCTTTCTCAGACAAGAGTTTGATTTTATCTTATATATGCAGCTAGAAATCTGGGAGATTTTGATTTTGAAACGAAATTTTTAGTTCATTGCAAGATATCAAGTGTACAGATACCTCGTATTCTCCTGAATTTTAGCTGTTTTTTTTTAGGGGGGATCTTTGAGCTGAATACATTCAGAACTTTACTTAATCTGTCGTTAGAGAACTTCTGTCGGAAAATAATTGAGAACAACTCTGGGATGAGTTGAAAGCCAGACGGAATATTACAAAAATCGCCATGTTGCAGAAGGAATGGAAAAAAAATCCCTGCATGAAGAACAAATCGAAACTTCGAGAACATTCTGGGCTAAACCGGTAAGAATTCGTTCCAGAAGGTTCTCCAACCGTCCATGGTATATCTCCAAATGTCGCCAAATGGGAGATTTTTCGCCAAATGTGGCAACCCTGCCTTACCTGGTATTTTATGGCAACCCTAAATCTTCCACAAGTATCTGATACCTGCGAAGAGAGATCTCTACATCATACTAACATTTACCAGATCCATTTAAACAGTTTATTGATGTTCTGTCATTAATGGTACTATTATGCTCATTCATGTAACTAAATTAAATTGATAGATGGTTATCACAATGTAGTGTTACATAATTTTATTATTCATATGTAATTTTATACTTATAATTATTTCATAATTTTTCACTAGTTTTTTTAATAATTTAGAATATCGTCATAGGCTCCGTTATTGGAGTTCTCGCAGCTGTATGGAAAGAATCTTGTAAGCGTAATTCGACCAAGCATCGAGCAAGGGTAGGTGAAAATTTTTTATTTGATTATGAGATGCAATAGTTTCACAAAAATAATGCTCCTTAATCATTTAATTTGTGGTCTTTGCATTACTCATTCATTATATGAAAAAAATCCAAATTTCAGAGTAGTGGAGATCATTGAGTGTGGTTAAGACTAGTAAATCGGTTTGTAGCCTTAACCAGTCAGGTAGTTCGATTTGTGTTCGAATACAGGCGAACGGGCTGATAGCGTGGGTGGTTTTCCTTACGTGTAACTTGAATACGAGCCAGGTTACTTCAGTAAGGTCCTTCACAGAAGTTGTAGATTCATTGCGTATCGGTCGCCAAAGAAAACCCGAAAATTCCCCATTCCCGGGGGGGGGGATTATGAACCTTGGACCTCCCAACTGCCTGCCGAACATGCTTCCTATATTAATTCCGCGAACATAAGCATAAAGGAAAGAGAAAATTCCTTGCATTCTTCCCTACATTAAGGGCGACTGGGTAGGAGGGGGACACAGGCTTTAAATCTTGGTGTTGACATTATCGTCTACCACGTTTGTGTTTAAATGCCATTTACAGAGTCACTAAGTTTATTTCGGAGAACGAAACTTAAAAAATAAAGAATCTATCTCCCGATTACCAGCCGAATTCGTTCCAGAAGGTTCTCCAACCGTCCATGGTATATCTCCAAATGTCGCCAAATGGGCGATTTTTCGCCAAATGTGGCAACCCTGCCTTACCTGGAATTTTATGGAAACCCTAAATCTGCTTTGCGGAAAAGCTATCCCACTGCGCCTGTACATTTCGTAACAATAATCAAGTAACCTAACCTAACCCAATCCGGTGCACAATTTCCATCTTGTTCCATATCTTCATCGGTGGCTGGTCTGTTAAAAGCCGTTAAAAACTGATAGTTCTGCCTGTGTTCAAACCCTGGCCAAGAAGCCGGCTGCTTGATTTGTTTTCCTTATGTGTAACGTGAATATAAGCCAATCTCATCTCTGAAAATCCCACACAAAAACATCCCTCCCATTAGGCAGATTTCTTCGTGTACTTTGCTATATTCAAATAACTTAACTCTATCTTGTTCCGCAGCCCCAATATTTAGCATCTTTTAAGATAATTTGGGGTTATTTTGAATTAATTTTCCTCTCTAGTAGAACTATCTAGTAGTAGTTCCTCTAGTAACCTCTATTGGAACTCCTTTGATAGAATCCTAATTCTATCAAAGGGAAACCTTTGAAATATATAGAAAAATTCTCTTGTTAGCGTAAGTTTTAGAGGTCTGTCCGAGAAGTTCAGCTTTCGTTATTCTAATTATTTTCAGTTTATTTAGTCATGTTTGTAGAGAAAATTGACCTAATCAACATATGTCAATCTGATGCAATGATTATCCTCACTAAGTGGTATAATTTTGAACAATTTCATTAACTTTTTTAAACACATATTTTACAGTAAAGCATTAAAATACAGATAAGTAATTAACAAAAATCAGATGATTATTCCATTTTGCAAGGTTTGTTGAATAATATGTGTAAAATTACGAATGTTTGGAGTGTAGGATTCTTTTTTCCCCTGCAGACTATCCTGAGTTTGCTCTCTTTACTATCTCTATGCGGACTATCCTGAGTTTGCTCTCTTTACTGTCTCTATACAGAGGAGACATCTATTAGTTAAGTTGTTAATTTTTACACCTGCTGCCTGACCTTGGGGTTCGAAACGAGATTTGTGGCGTAGAAAGCAGCGTACCGCGCAGCAAAAGTACGCTACTACCTACGCTGCCAATATTCGAATCCGTTTCCTGTACGAGCGCTATCTGGCTACCGAGCCGCTTTCAATGATTTTGCTAATATATAAAACTGTATTCTCAGCAAATGTTGTTAATATTCAACTTCGTTTTCTCCTCGAAATCTTATGTATGATCCAAGCAATTTTTGTTCTAATTAACCTTAGCAAATGAAAAATTCTCCGTATGGTTTTGTATTTGTATTTTTAGACGTTACTTTGGAAAACAAAATGTTAAAAATATATGGTTCATTTCAGCAAAATGTTTTGGCAGCCTTGGCAACAACAGTGATGATCGTGAATGCAACTTGTACTATCATCCTCCTGCTAGGGGGAGGCAACAAGTTGCTGACCATTCATTTAGAGAGCTATGAAGAAGAAGTTAACTTTGAAAACCGTGTTTTAGCATATGGTGGGTAAAATTTTAAAATTTTCTTGTTTGAAATCGATGATTCTTGAAGAATGTGGTGCACAATTTCGTAGCTTTTTTCCTGAGAAACGTAAAAGAGCATCTTCTTTTAGAGCAATGAAAAAGAAATATAGAATAATGTATCCTGAGCTAAAATATGTGACATTTCATTGCCTCAACCTGCTTAAGTTGCTCTCATAATCTATCTTTCATTTCTTAAGTGCCCACCAGCGGCCGAGCGGTAAAGTCGCTGAACACTGGTAGTTCGGTCCGAGGTTCGAATCCCGCAAATGGGCTGGCTTCATGGGTGTTTTCGTGGTTTTCCCCATGTGTAACGTGTATACAAGCCAGTTTCCCCTTAGAAAGTCCTCCACGAAGGCATCCCTCCCCTTAGGCAGATAGCCCTAGTGTGCTTTGCCATAATTAAATACACACACACACATTTCTCAAGTCTTTACACCTGCGGAAAACTGGCTAGCATTTATTCCTACATGGGGAAATCATGAAATAAGCTATGCAGGCAGCCTGCTCGTCGTCAACTAGCTCGTATTCTGAATGAATTGTATATGAGTCTACCATTTACCGAGTGGATAAGATCGTTGAACACTGGTAGTTAGAATAGCTGCTAAGATTGAGGATGTTTGTTTTAAGGGGAAAAAAAGATGAAAGATTGAAAATATTTAAACAAAATGACTTTCAAACGAGAAATCTTTTTTTTTTTTTTTTAGTTTGAATATTTGCGGTATTTTTACAACAAATTCGAAACTAAATTCTTGAGCTCTTTCAAGCATTGAAAAGTCATTATGAAAATAATTAAAGGTATTGTTCGTCTTGAATTATTATTTTTAACAAAAAAATTAATTTTTAGGTTAAAACAAGCATTTTCATTCATTTATATATACGAAATGTGTACCTGTTTTTAATAAATTGTTTATTAAAGTTTCATTAGTGCTTTTTAAAATTATGTATTTAATAGTATTTTAAATACTTTTCTCTGCCAATGTCATTGTGATCAGTTTCGAAGCAATTAATCATGAAAATAAATGACATTTATTTCATGATCCCTTGTTTTTCAATTATCAAATCTACAAAAATGCACATTTTAGAACAGACTCATATATTACAGTTTTGTTGTAAACTAATCAAATCTCTATGCAAACTGTAAAATTGTATTCTGTGTTTCTTGTATAAAAAGAAAAACATCTGGAAGGTTTTCGGGGCGTTCTTTAACGTTTTGTGTTTAACCTCGTTTTATTAAATATCATGTTCTTCGCACTTAAACCACATAAAATTAAATTCAACAGAAATATCACAAAATATTTAAAAACAACATATCTTTAGAATTTCCGATGGATAATCTCGGGCGCTGGACATATTTTTTTTTTTTTTTTTTTTCGTACAGTGTTGCCATTGCTCGAAACTGTTGGTTTTAAATCGTTGAGTTTCTCAATCAAAAATTTGTTTTTCAAAATATGAAATAGATAATAAACCAAATTCGGAAGTCAAAATTCAGGCTTCCAGGTGCCCATGTTCAGGTGGAGGATTACTTTATTCAAAATTTGATAGCTCCAGGTGCCGTAGTGTTTTCACGAGAAACATGCATACATTCAAGCAGACTTTTCATTATTGAATTTCTTTAAATATAATACAGTGCGATAATATTTGGTGACAACAAACTGAAAAGTGATACGCTGTTTATAGTGAACGGACGCCGAATGCCGTTTCGAGACTAATAGCCCTTTTGGGCTAACTTTGGGCCTATAACTTTGTAAAGATTATATGCACCATAAAGCATAAAACAGTTTTTTACTGCTACAATGATTATAAAAGCATTGTGTATACATATAACATCAATGATTTAAAAAACGAAAGACACGAACTTTCTTTTTTAACTAGCTTTCATGTTGTGAGATCTTTCAAGGACAAATATTCAGACTATAGGGAATTGTACATTTTCGATGACAGTACTTGATAATCCAAAAAATTAAAAAATACTCCTCCACTCTTTCTACGTAATTGCGAGGTTAAATTAACAAATACTAGCTGGACCGTGCTTTTCGGTTTAAGAAGTCAAGTACTTTTAGTTCACCGAACACTCGAAATTCTTATTATGTTTTTATGTTAAAATTCGATTTTTTACGAGCATTTTAAAATAAACCCCAGAGCCCATCAGCGGCCGATCGGTAAAGTCGCTGAACACTGGTAGTTCGAATCTTGGCTGCATAGGCGTTGCAAGTCAGTTGCCCTTTGAAAGTCCTCCACAAAGAAATTTCTTCCCTTAGGCAGATAGTTCTCGTGAGCTTTGCCATTATCAAGTAAATTAAATAAAAATAATCCTATATAAAAATTGTCTTAGCTATCAAAGTTATGGAAAATAGTTTTAAGTGTTTGCCATTTAAAGAGTGTCAGATGTTTTGTCTAAATTTGCATTTTAGAATATTCATCGTATTACGTCAATCCCCTGTGTTATACATAAAATTCTTCTGTAATAAATTGCTTCTATATACACTTTTATGCAAATATATAGTTATGCACGATAGAAATATTTGTTTCTTAGCATATCTGTCTGAAGCCGGTGCTACCATACGAGGTAACAGGATATGATAGCAAAAAATATTGATAATTAGCGGCAGAACTCAGGAACAGCAGACGTTGCTTGGGACGGCAAAAAGCCTAGCACTGACCCTGAATCTATTTATATATTTATTAGATTTAAGAATATAATGTGTTTAGAAGATCTCAAGGTAATTTCCGGTTTCAGGTATAATTTTGTAAAAATGTGAATTTCCTGCTTATGTGCAGCCTCACTAGTGGCTGACTGCTAAATACTGATAGTTCAACCTAATTTTGATTCGGTCCTAGGCAAGCGGGCTGGCTGCAGATGGTTTTATATTATTTTCCTCATGTGTAACATGAATACGAGCCATTTTCCGAAGACAGTCCTTCTAGTTGGCATCATCCCTCTCAGACATATATTCCTCGTAGTTGTAGTTTTCCATGTGGGGGGGGGGAAACGAACCATCATGCTTGCATGCGTGATTTCTTGAAATGTCTAATTAAAATTACAGTGGTTAGTTATGCAGTACTCTTTGAGTTTACAGTCTATGATTATGCATACCTACAAACTTATATATATATTTTTTCTTTAATATTAAGAAAGAAATGGATATTTACAAAATTTGAAGTTTTCAGAAACCTTAATTTTCCTGCTTTGCGCATGATTTCTTTGAAAACGTTGGTCAGAATTCAAAGAAATTTTGATAAATTGTTAAAATCTTGTGTATATATAAAATAACCAACTATTAATCTTCTCGCATAATAATTTTAGGAATTATTTTTAGTTTTGTTTTAAAATATGCTTCTTTTACGGATCTCAGAAATAATGAAATTCATTTTTTTTAAGTAATCAATAATATTTTTGTAATTTGCAAGGAAAAAAGAGCTCAGCGATTTGTTTATCCACAATGCTGCGCTCAATACATATTAAAATTTTAGTTTTGAAGCTACGTTATATATATGTGGAATATGCAATGAAAGCAAATATAATGTCAAGGATAACGAAAAAGTTATTGAAAATTCCATGATTATAATAAACGAACAATATCAGTTGTTCCGTCCCATCCTATTGTAACATTTATCTCATTAGAAGTCGCTGCAACACCCCCTCTCAAACCAGCAGAACCCCTGTAGACCGCGAGCAAAGCGATTGTTCCCTTTTGGCTCATGCGCCATGCTTTGTTACAACCATCAGTGATAACAAGAGCGTGCGATTCTGATCCTTTTGGCCCCTGTGCCTTTCCCCATTGACGAATAAACTTTTATAATTTTCTACAGGCCATTTTCTTTTCAACGGATCTCAATCGCTAACATCAGTAAGATCTAACATCTCAACATTTCTAACAACTAACATCAACATCTTACAACTCTAACATCAATATCAGCAGTATTTCTAGCATCTAACATCAATAATAAACCGACTTTGAACCATGGAACCAATCATGGAAAGCAGAGTTCATTCTGGATTCAGTTCTTAGAAGCTGAACAAAATGGCTGTTAAGTATTTTGGTAGTTTCCCCAGTGTATGATAAATATGATGAACTTAATTTTAGTGCAACAAATGTTTGGTAAACAGCAGTCGATAGGAAAATAATGGATGGCCGTTGGGTTAGTTTAAATACTATACGGAATGTTTTAACGTTAATCAGTTGATCATAGCTTCTTAATAATAAATATGAGAATGAAATGCTCTGAACCTAAAAATTAAAAAAAATATTTTGGTAATTACTAACTTTTGATTATTTTTCAGCTTATATGATTTCTGTTTGTTCTCCGACGGTTTGCACAGTTGTTGGAATTGTTACCCTATCCAGCAGATGTTTTCGAAGGGCTGGTGAAAAAACTCTGAAGATAGCAAAAACTGGAGAAAATGTAAGAAAATAAGAACTTTCAGGTTGCTTACTTATTCAGAACAAGAAAGATGTTCTTAATAATACCAATATGAACTGCAATGTTAAGATTCTAAATTCATGTTTAGGTAATATAAGATTTGCATCTTGTTTGTTCAAGTATTTTTATCACTCTTTCTTAATTCATCTTCTCTGTTTATTATTGTTCTGTTCATTGTCATTGGTGTAATTTTGGTAAAACGCATAATCACAATAATTATCTTCTCTCCTCAGTAAATTCATAAACTCGCTACTTTTCAGTCAAACTGTAGTATGTCCCATCATTCATTAACTCAATTGTGCATATTTGACTATCTTAGGTCATTTTGACGTTCATTTTCCCACTCAGCGTAGTTTTCGTCTTTCACCAACTTTCGTTAACTATTTTCATGAGACGTATTTTAAGGTCACGGATCTAAGATCTAGACGTATTCTAAGGTCACGGGGAAGGATGTAAATAGTCAATTAAATGCCCACCAGCGGTCGAGCGGCAAAATCGCTGAACATTTCCGACCTGGGTTCGATTCCAGGCGAACGGGTTGGCTGCATGGATGTTTTCGTGGTTATCCCCATGTGTAACGTGTATACGAAGCAGTTTTCCTTAGAAAGTCCTCCACGGAGGCATTCCATCTCTTAGGCATATAGCTCTGTTGCTTTGCTGTAATCAACTAAACCAAAGCAACTAAACGGTCAAATTACACTGCTGCAAAAATAATGGTACTTACGTACTAACGCAACCACTATAGTAGAAGGCGGCAGATTTTCAGAATGTGCCGAACTCTGGCAACCCTGCCCATAACAATCCTTCTGTTTGTGGTGTTTCCCATTGAAAACGAAAGCGATATTAAAAGCTGTAACTCCGACGTTACTTCTCTTATCTTCGCTAAATGGAATTGGAATCGATCCAAAAAAGAAAAATAAGAAAAAGGTGAGGACTTCTCTCCTATGATTAATTCACTGTTACGTGTTCTTCCATGGAGATCTGATAACACTTGTAGCATTGGTAGATACTTTTTTCTACTTACACCTAAGAAATATGCTTTTTAATTGTGCTTCTTACATACAGCAAGATGGATTACCCATTAATAAGGCTAAGCGACATTCATTCTGTTTTATTTGTCTGCTTGTTGCAAATAACCTGCATTTAGATAGTAAAGAAATGAACTGCAAGAACCTTCAACACAGTTGACAGTGCTGGAAGTTCGCGCGGTTTTCTTTTTTGTCGTATTCAAAATTCCAATTATTTTTATAAATAAATCAATTTTTTTTTTTTTTTTTTTTTTTTTTTGCCTTAGTTTTAAAATACGAGCTTGTGGCATTTGCCAGCAATGGAAGAAACTGCGGTAAAATTATCAGCAGAAGTATAGAATTTTGCTGAAAAATTTCTAAAGAACAGTGACGAAATGTTGCCAAGGTTTGTACAATGACGAGTCTTCGAAGTTTTCTGATGTTTTTTAAGCGTAAACATATCGCTGTGTACTTCGAAAGGTGATAATGGCAAAAAATTACAGTTAGATTTGAATAGGAATGTAAATGTTTTATTTTTTAATATATCACGCAATTTTTATTTAATAATTCAAATTTGTGTTTTAAATTGCTAAAGTATGTTTTTTTCATAAGTTGATAATGTTTACCGACTTAAAATAAATATCGATAGTTTGGCAATCTTTCTAAAAAGGCGCAAAAATCATCAACTTGCACACAATAAGTAACTTCTACCTTGGCGCAATCTAGCTTTTCGTTTGTAAAAGAAAAGCTAGATTGCGTCAAGGTAGTTGCGTTAGTACGTAAGTACCCAAATATTTACTGAATCTTTGAAACTTTAACACTAGATCCGAAATATTTGAGATCTTCGAACGAATGTGAGATACTGGCTTCTTTCAGAAACTTTTCCTGGTTTCTAAAATTTAATAAATTTTGGGTGCTTCCCAGAAAAATATAACTGCTAGAAGTATTTTAAATATTTTGTACTTTAAGTCGCCAAAATGCAAAATGGACTAGTTGGACTAATGGATTAATTGGAGTGCTTTCGGGACGAGCACCTCAGTCACGGAACAATTCTCTTAAAACGGCGCTGAAACAGAATACAGCGTCTTATTGGGACGGGCAATTTGTGATGCTAAGCCTAACTCTGGAAAAAAAAAAAGTTCGCGTAAATAAAATTTCCGGTCCAGTGTTGTTCGACTTTTGGGCACATTGTGAGAGGAACACTCAGGTATTTGTTAGAATTTATTTTAAAACTATATCAGTATATTTTCCTGGCCATTTGAAGTATAAAAATTATTCCGCTAAACCAAGGCTGGTCTACCCTTTTTTACCTACCGCCCACTTTGTAGGTAGTAAACGTTCCTTACCACCCACCGATTTTGCAGTAACTTAGTTTAGCGCAAATACGAAGTAATTTCTTGAGGTTTAGTTAATATATATACAATTAAATTTATCCATTTATTTATACTTTGCTGATATTTATCAGAGACAAAAAAAAAAAAAAAACTTCCGTCTCGCGTACTTTGCCGGGAACCTGTTCCAGGGAAGCTGTTTCGGCTAGGAAACCTTCAGTGGTAGGAAAATAGTTAGTTTCTCGAAAAATTTCTCCTAAGCTCACGCTTTGTTAAGATGTGATAATCACATTATGTGCGCTATAATTACAAAACAACACCTAAGACAAGTGGCAAAGCTTTATGAGCAATATGAAAAAAGGAGAAAGCTGAGCAGGGGATGGACAAAAGCCTTGGACCAAGTTGACTATCCCAAACGATATAGAAAATTTTCGCCTCCGCTAGCCAAACTCTGAGAGGAAAGTATAAAACCGCTAATACAGTAAAACGTACATAATCTAATAGGACATATATTCGCTAAAATTAAAAGCGAAAGTATTCAGAAGCATCGAGAACATACCCATGTGGTTTATATGAGCTGACGCAGTTAATAGCCATCTCTGTAAAAAAAAGGTACTAATTCGTTTATGGTACACCCAGCTTAATTGGCGAGCAATGTAGTATATGTAACATACCCACTTGAAATGCGTACAAAGCTTATTACCTATTACGCAAATCCTGTAGATATTATAGCTATAGTATCTCTAATCCTTTCATCGTGTGTGCGAAAGGAAAAGGTGCGTCGTTCATTCTTTCAAATAATTTTCTTTTTATTAAATTTTTATTCATAGTTGTTATTTTTAGATGCATTAAAAACAAAGATGCCAAATTTTAAAATCTGCCAATATGTAAATTCACGTCTTATAAAATTTTGAATAAAAACTCTTAATTTTGCTTAGAAAAATCACGATTTCGAGACACGAAAAACCGCAAATTAAATTTCGTCAATCGGCCCAGTAGAACGGGAAATACAAAATTGTCCCTTTCTTTGTGTTTGTGCAAAGTGTACACAACTTAAAACACTAGAGGCACCAAGCTTTCTCCCTAACTAGAAGCGCCAACGGCAGTCAAATTGACTGCTCAACGAATTAATGTATATATTCAAATGTAAATGCTTTATAATGCTTTTAAGAATATTAATTACAGTTGTTGAAGAACTTTAAAGAATAACAGATTATTTTAATAAAAATAGAGGATATTTTATTATAAATTTCACAGCCTACCCTTAATAAAAAAACACATATTACAGCTTTTTTTTTCGCAATTTTTACAAAACACAAAACTTTTTCAAATATTGGAAGTGCATTTTCCACACACATATATATGAACATTTTTTACAACACATCACCTGTTTTGGTTGTTGTTAAAGTCCAATCTGGCATTGATGTCTTTTCTTCGAGAGTCTATTGCTAGATTTGGAAATTTCCTGAGGCAATTTTGCGGTTTTTCTTCTGTTTAAATAAAGCTCTCTTAATTCCTCTGCTAATTGAAATAGGAAGTCGTGCCTTGTAATATTTTTATCACTCAATTTATGGTACATAATGTAGGCATTCGTCCCTGCTAAATCCAGCATATTATAGAAAACATGCACAGGCCATTTACGTGAAGCAGCCCGAACAGAATATTTACGTGTCATCTTGTCAACGATATCAACTCCACATCTGGTTTTGTTGTAGAACTCTACTGTTTCTGGAAGCTTTTTCTTATTTTGTGAGTCTATATTTACAATTTGGATGTAAGGTTCGTAGTAGTAGGACATTTTTATTCCTTTTCTCCTGATAGACAGTGAGTGTAGTTTCACCATTCTTTAGCAAAACTGTTTCAAATAGCCGGGTTTTTGATTTCCTTACTTCATGCGGAATTTTCTTGTCGATGTCTTCTTACTGTGCCGACAAAACTTGTGTTTTTCATTTTAAGTCTTCTAGCTAATGATAGTGAGGAAAAATAATTGTCCGTTGTCAAATTTCGACCTGAATTCAGATAATGGCTTAGAAGACGCATTACTACATTTTCAGACATTTGTTTCATCACATTTGTTTCACTTCTCGATGTATTTTTTCCAAGATATGGAAAAGCATTGCACATATACTTCGAGTCTACATCGACTAACATCCAAAATTTGATACCGATACCGAATTTATCCGGTTTATTCGGCAAATACTGTATAAACTTACACCTGGCTTTGGATGGAAATAACTGCTCATCCACAACTAGATTTTCTCCTGGTTTATAGGAAATCGCACAGTTCTGTATAAATTTATTCCAAACATCGAAAAAAAGTACAAACTTATCACTTTCTAAACGCCGAGTCCTAGTTGACTTCAAGTCAAATCTTAGATATTTCATAATGTCTCGAAAACGATTGCGAGACATCGTTTCTCAGAAAAAAGGAGGACCCCATGTATTATTCCACAAAAAATCATCCATATCATTGCAACCATATGCTCCTCTTGCATAAATAATAGCAATAAAAGCATCAAGCTCTTCTAAATATATTGCCCAGTTTTCTTCATTGCTCAAAACTGCCTCTGCTTCCGTGCACTTTTTAATATGTCGTAACATCGATTCATCCGCAAACAACCTCCAAGCACTCAACACATTGTCCCCAACATTTCGTTTTCCATAAGATGTTGGACACGGCATTTCTTTTAGCACATTTTGAGCTCCATATTTCCCAGCTGTAGTTTGTGAAGTAGATGTCACAGTCCACGAGGTTCCATCTTTTGAGACATATATAGAGCCTTCTTCGTGGTTTTGAAAAAGACATCTTCTTTCTCGTGCGTATTCTGAGTTAGGTAAATCATGTTTTCGGTTTGATCCTATACCTTGTGCATTAGGGAAACCTAAAAAATAATATATATGTATATTTTTTACAATAAATGACTCATCACATTTTAAAAAAATTCGAGTACATCAGAAATTGTCAAAACAAAAATAGCAATACATAAACATAAATATTTCTTACCTATTTCAGTTGATGTGGATGCTGAAGTTACTGATGACGAAATATTTGCTGCATAAATATCGATGGTCTGAAAACCTTGGCCCAACGATTGCTCTTCCGTGCTATCTTCAGATTCACTAGAACTATTATTTCTCTCAAAGTTTTGTGGAGGCTCATAATCCATATCATCATCAATATTATGTTCTTCAACATCAGATTCATTTTCAGATAAATCCTGTAAAAGTTGTACAATTTCTTCTGGACTCGGATATCGCGGTCTTCGAGCTGCCATTACCGTGCGCTTGAAAGAATGAAATGTCATGAAACAAACTGACTGAACTACTGCAAACTAAGGACTATATCATTTCGCCAAAAAGGGGTGGACCGTTGACAAGGAGGTGAGGAAGTATTTGATGTAAATAAAAAGAGAGTGAAAAGGAATGTGTAGGCCAGATGTTTTTCCAACAAAAGGGATTTTCTGAGCGGAAGGGAAGTATATCCTTCTGTAAATAATCAGTGAATGAAAGGAATGTATATGTACGCCAGATGTTTTTCCAAGAAAAATATTTGAGCGAGAATACCATACAAATCTACCCAGTATTACTAGCAGTTATTATGACTATTCGTGGCGCTTTTAGGTATAACTAATAATATCTCCGTTAATTTTAATTTCATTCGATTTATATTTGGTACCAATAATTTTCGACATATTTTAGGAAAATACTAAAATTTGTGACTTCTTAAGATAAAGGGTTTTTAAGGAATCCAAGGTCAAATGACGAAAGCAGTCAAAATGACTGCTCTGGCGCTTCTAGTGTTAATCAAGCAATTCTTTCTGACTGATGTGATTTCATTCTGTGCAGAGTAGCAAACAAACACTCAGTCGTACTTTATAGTGGAAAAAGAAAGAAAATAGGCTTCGTTTATGGGAAAAAGATACTCGCTTTTGCTTTTTCCGTCCCCAAAACTTGTAACAGAGTTCTGCCCTCCTATCGAAACTTTCCAAATTGTAAAAGCAACAGAAGCACTTCTAGTTTTTACAAAATGCTTCGATTAATAACTTCAAGCGTAACAGCAGAATTTAAGCTGGAAAATTTGATTGATGTTATACCATTCTTTCAGACTTCAGTATCTGTTGTTCCATGCTAATCCTTTGCTTTTAATGTTATCGGAAAATAAAATATCTTGGCATGAAACATATGCTTTCTTCTTCATGTCATTTCACGACTATTAAATATTTTGTGACGCGGATTTCACATAATAACATAATGCAATTTGTTGCTTTTTCTTCCAATGGCGGGCCCAAACCATCCACAGACGATGGCCACTACTTAAGGTCAGAAGCGGTGGTCACTTTATTATGGAGGCATCTAATAGGCGGCAAATTATTGACAGGTCTGATAAACAGCAGGAAAACTTTATTTAATTTTCTAATGTTCGTTCCAAGTAGATTATACAGTATTCATTCAATAAAAACACATGTGTTATGAATATAATTTACATACATATCTATAGACATACTTTTTGCTTGATTCCAAATGGGTCATAAACCCTGCACCCTCCCCGCCCCCAACATTCTGGGAACGAAGATAGTCAAAGGTGTTGACATGATCCGGAATTCTCCTTCTTTCTTAAAAGATAGTAGTATCACTCATGCGCAGCCCTACTCATGTACTTGTGATCGGTATAGTGGTTAGGGATGCTGATTGCAGTATCCTTGGACCCGAGTTTGAATACCAGAAAAGGTATGGAAAGTAAATGTGCGGCAGAGAGTACTTAGAATACTAGTGAGCTGAAAGCCCATTCGAGTGGTTTCTGGTAAGGGAAGAGGGGTGAGAAATACTCAGATTCGTCTCATTTGTAAACATTGTATCTGAATAATTTTAGAAACGTTAACATAACAGAGTATCTCAGAGCTTTAGTCCATAGTTATGAAATGTGAAAGTTTTGTTATATTTGATATTGACATAATTTCTAAGTAACTCCTTGTAATTTCTTTATATCCCATATTTGTAAATATTTATATATATTGTTGCGTGCGTACGGGTTCGTAATATATTGAAAGCACAAGTACGATAATAAAAATTTACTTTTATCAAAAGAAATATTTCTGAACTCCTGAATTTTCCACAGAAATATTCGTACAGGTGTTTACAGAATCGCACAGTATAGTCAGTAGTTACGCTACTAAGAACGTTAAAAACAACGCAATGCAAAGAACATCTAAAAAGAAAGCTAATCCGATCTCACGCTGAACTCGCAACAATAACAGCAGCAACTAACTATACAACTGGAAAGCAGATGCTCTCGGCCTTAAATATTTTTCAACCGGTTACGAGATATTTCTAGTACTTTCTGCTTCTCGAAACTATTGGAAAGCAATTAGAGGATGGAATTACGGTTACAGTTAACATGTAGTGGAAAAATGGAATTTATTCAATTTCAATACAAATTACCGAGATATCCATTTACTCAATGTTTAATTCTCGTGCCCCTGTATTCTTACTTTTCCGGCATAGATTTCTCTTAAAATTTTTCTGGCGCTGCATTGCACGGAAAAATACAATTTTAATTATAGTTCTACTAAAATTAGCTATTTACAAAATTCGTAACAATATTATAAATAAACTTTATTACGTATTTCATTTCTACTTGAAGGCGGAATGGCCTACAGCGGATCGGCAGCCAGCAAATTGTCCTGTTTTCGAGGTGTCCGCCGATAACATCGCGGCAAAAACATCGCGGACGAAAACGTTGCAGAGAAAACAACGCAAGGCAAAAGCATAGTGCTACAAACATCGTGGGAGAAAACATCGCAGTTCTAAAACATCGTCGTACAAAACATCGTCGTCAAAAATAAAGCGTTTCAAAAACTTCGCAGTTTAAAAACATCGTCGTCGAAAATATCGTGGTAAAAAATAAAGTGTCTACAAATCATCGCATGACGATAACATCGCAGACATGCTTTTTCAGGTTTTAATAATTGTAAATGGATATTCTCATAATGATTTATGAGCGCAAGATGTGAAGAAGGATAATTTTTACTTTCACATTTTTTTATTAATTAATAAATTTTTGCTTAAAAAAGTAAGAAGGAAACTTAAGCATAGAAAATTAAATGCAACTTATAGATTATACTTTTCATGAAAAATTACCAGTAAAAACTTTATACAAAATGATTTATTAATGGCCTTAACTATGTCGCTTTAAAATTCTATTAAGTGCTTATAAGTTGCATTAATTTTCTATGCTTAAGTTTTCTTATTTTCTCAGCAAAAATTTATTAGTTTATAAAAAAGTGTAAAAGTAAAAATTATCCTTCTTCACATCTTGCGCTCACAAGTTTATGGGGATATCCATTTACAATTATTAAAACCTGAAAAAAGCATATCTGCGATGTTATCGTCATGCGATTATTTGTAGACACTTTATTTTTTACCACGATATTTTCGACGACGATGTTTTGAAACTGCGAAGTTTTTGAACCGCTTTATTTTCGACGACGATGTTTTGTACCACGATGTTTTAGTACTGCGATGTTTTCTCTTTGCGATGTTTTCTCCCACGATGTTTTGCAGCACGACGTTTTTGCCTTGCGTTGTTTTCTCAGCGACGATTTCGTCCGCGATGTTTTTGCCGCGATGTTTTCGGCTGTAACCGTTTTCGACGGTGTGAAGTCATAGACCGCATGCTGACGGTTCACTTCAAATTCAAGCAATGAGGTATCCGCTTGTTTCACGATGAGTGATTGTGATGCAAACTTAACAAAGCAAAACATCGTAGTTTCTCAGTTTTAAACCTTTTTTGACTAAAATATGTGCGATAAGAACTGTTATAAGTGCAGCGGTATAAAACTGTACCCTTGATCTAATTTAAAATATTGTTCATTTTGTTATTGTAAGTGTATCCCATTTTACTGACAAGTAAAGAACGGAAGCTTTGTCAAAAACCCAAAGAATTTTCGAGGAATGTTTTACTTGCAAGAAAACAAGAGAAAACTGTACACCTTATTTATCTTGGCTCCTTTAAATCTGTGAAATTCCCAGTAGTTTAGTGTTCTATGGAATTTCACAACTTCATTGAATTTTACCACTTCATTTTAAAACAAAATTTTGAAATTTTTAGGTATGCACTAAAATTATATTTTTACATTAATAAAATTATGCATCCTGGTAATTTTGTAACAGATTACTATAAACGTATTAATGCATTAATTTTGATTAGGAATAATTAGTCGTTCCATATTTTATTATTTTATTGTTTTGCTATTTTATCGGAAATTGGTTTCTACGTCTCTTATTATGAACTGCAAGATGGCAAGTGTCTTTATAAATAAAGTGTCACTTTAAAATTACCATCCAAGTGGTGTTTGATACTATTAAAATAACTTTTCTTACAGGATAGAAGGAATTCCAGTTACAATAGCTGGGTATATGATTCAGAAGCTCCTAACTCTTCAAAGTTTAAAAGAAAATTTCCGAATTTGTCATCATGTTCATCAAGCTCTTCTGACAGTATGTTCAGAAACCGCATGAATTCTTCCGGCATACAAGCAGGACAAAGCCCAGTTCCATCAGTAGGTAGTGCACGTGGTTTTATACGAGCTCATCGTAGGTCAGCCTCCTGTGATAGTGCACCTTCCCGACATCGAGCTGCATTATATCGAAAAAGTATAGATAATTGTCTCAGTCGCCATAGTACTTCTGAGGAAATTAGAATACCAGTTCAGACATATAATATTAAAGAAAATTCTCCATCCACATCATTTGCGAATGACAATAATAGAAAACTCTGTAACAGAGGTGGTTTGAAGTTTGGTGAACGTTCTCTTTTGCGTTCAGAAGACGAATTTTCAGAAATTTTAAAAAATGCTGTAATACCTAAAACTAGAGAGGTATTAGATATATCCAGCTTTCGTTCCCATGAAATCTTACAAATTCATGTTGGAGGTAAAACGTATTTGGTAATTCAACCCAAAACTGATGTTAATGCTATTTATAGTGAACCCTCAACATCTTCTGGCAAGAGATTAAGTTTTCAAGACGAAAAGCAGTCTGCTTCGCAAGACAGCAGGCAGCCAAAAGAAACCATGTATAGTGTTGCCCAAATGTATCTGTCTCCAGAATCTTCTCCAGAGTCCAAATCCGCTTTCACAAATGTCAACCATGACAGCGAAAATTCAACTTGTACAGATAAGAGAAAACTGGAAGGTCTTCATGTAATGGGACAAATAGAAACTCGTGTACCGGTGTCTAGAAGTACAACTGTTAATAGCCCTTTTCTCAATAAAAATGAATGTGTCTTAGAATCTTCCGAAAATTTATATATGCCTTCGTACAGTGAATGCAGCAGAAACAGAACAATACCTTCTCCTGAGAAAGAAACACATCCAAAAGTTCACTTCAAAACAGAAAACAATCAACAGACTTCCCAATTGTATTCTAAAATAATGCCAAATGAAGCTATTTTGCTCAACAAAGATTCCAAGGTTACACAACCAAAAGAATCATACGAAATATCCAATGAACTGCTGGGCGACAGTTTGTCAAAAGGAGATTTTTCATATACAAGGCAAAGTTCCTTTAATCAAAGCGCACTCTTCGACAAAGACTCCGAGATGGAAATACCTAGATGTTTTTCATGGCCAGGAGAAACCATTGCATCTCTACATAAGAGCTGTTTAAATAAATCTTCGAAACTTATTCCTGTTCCTTGCCCTGTCGTTCCGGAAATTCGTACAGATACTGTGGATACGTCGGTGAGAAAAACGTCGAACGTTAACAGCGTGAGTGTCGACATTATGCATAATGATTCCAGGGAACAGAAACTTTCATCATTCCGCGCAGATACAAAAGGTAAAGCAAGGAAACCTTTCACAGAGGAATGCCCAAAGGTGAGTCCACTTTAAATAAATTATGAAGCTAATTATTTGAATAATAGTATCGCCTCAGAACAATGCAAAAGTTAATGAAGGTTGATATTTATGCGTTTATTTACTTTAATACCATGTCTAGGATTCATATTTTAGGATCCATCCTCTCGGAATCGAATCCCGGCTGTGCTATGAATATTTGTAACTGTTGAATCTACATAGCATAGTTGCACTTAAAATCAGGCAAACCGAAAATCCTGCGCAGAGGATTGATAGTAACGATAAAGATGTACTAGATTCTGTGATCCATCACTTTGGATGCTCGCAATCAAAACTTGTTTGGAATATAGGGAAGATATCTTCGTGTATTTTTCGAAATTAAATTATCCTAATCGTTTGGTTAATAGTATGTTGATTAAAAGTATTTCTCGTACTGAGATCGCGTGAGTTTCACACTAAAGAAAGTTAAATGTTTTTATAATTCAGCCCTTATACAGTTGCTGGTAACAACGGCCTCATTGCGTATGTGACGAATTAAGTCAGAATGTTAGCCATTGAATTTTAAAATATCTTTAATTTGTAATTCATTTCCTATTTCCTTTAAAAAAATTATCATTTAGGAAAGCAATTAGAAACACTGTCAAGTTACAGCATTTTTATGTGATTACCATCAACAAATATGCAATTGGCATGTTACTAATTTGCAATGTAATGTGTTAAATTACATAAAATTATTATTTAATAATTATAGCAATAGTAGTATCTAAAAGCCTATTTTACCTGGCGCATCATATAATTTTACGATATTTCACTCAGTTTTCTTATGAAATGTGATATTAAATTGTAAGGTATTAGTGGCATCATTCTTCCCGTGTGTACATATCATGTAGTGGTTTCACATCCAGCTAGCAACTGGGAAGATCTTGAATTTGATTCTGGGCTCCGAGACACTTGAATTTAAAGCGTATCCTAAAAGGCCTAACTTAAAGGGCCTAACTGTGGTGCTGTGACTAGAATATGGTGGATTTGTTATCGATTTCTCTTAATCTCTTTAAAGAAATTCTGACATCTGTCCTTGTGGTTTAGTCAGCACGTATAAGGAACAAATGGAAGATCTTCGGATTAGATACTCGGCGAAGACACTCTGGATTTTTGAAGATTTTCTGTTTGAAGAAGCATTGTGTCTCAATAACCGTGTTTAATTTTTACAATTAAATCACAAAACACTTACCAACATTTTCTGGCTCTAGTTCTTGCATCTTCTTTGTGTAACTTTTGCAAACCTTATAAATAATTTATTTTCATGATTTAGTTGATTCTTATTGTAGATTAACGTAATTATTGCGGATTGATAAACAGCGTAAAACTTCAACGATGAAACACAACTATCTCCTACTTTATTTTTTTGTTAATTGCATATTGTAAGCGCAGACATGTGGACACCGCATGAATTCCTTGCACGGCCTATTAAATTCAAATTTTTTGCTGCATTTCATTTAAACTTATTCCCTCGAATTTAATTGGAGATATATTTCTTATTTAATTAATTAAGTTCTCACGTCGCGGAAGGCAAAAATACATAAAATAATATCTTCATTAAAAATTGAAAAACATGAAAAAATATAAAACGCAAATACATTTAAAACAGTTAAAACATTTACATTCAAAATTGAGAGTTTCTATGCAAAAGCAAGCAATTCGACCACCGGGCAAGAAGGCAGAGTTTTCGGAGCACAAAACTGAACGTTTACTTTTGGTCCCACTCGGCAAAAAGACACTGAAAGTGTAAACAAATATGGCTGCTCCGTTAGGCTTAGCCGCACTTACATCCTTGAAATTGTTAATGATAATTCTACAGCAACTGTATGCAGATTAACTAGCATAAAAACCATATAACACTTTTAAAGCAAAAATGCACAATTAACCAACCTATAAGGAGGGAAAAAAATTGAACTCACAGAGTTGAGCAACAGAGTGAATGTATATATATAAAGCCGTCGATTGCAACCGAAAGAGGGAGGTTCAGAAACCGTCGATTGCAACCAAGAAAGGGAGGTTCACAACTACATATTATAGCAGTCCCATGTACAAAACTTCAACGTTCTAAATTCAACGTACATTTAAGTTATGCGAGATACGTATGTTCAGATATCGCAAAAGAAAATCTTCTGATTCCACTTTAAATCCATTTTACATTCCGTTTTGGGAAAAGGAGTCCTTTATTCTGTTCTTACATACAGATGTCACCTAAAACCAACACTAAATTGTGTTCGATAGCTGTCAAAATGGATATTTTCGTTGAAATTTGATACCCGAAATTTTTCGCGAATACAATAATTTCTTTATTTCCTACAAGGAAGTAAAAATGCATACTTCAGCCTAGTCATGTAAGATAATTTTAGATTTGAAGTGCAGCAAATTCGATTTTTGAAGCGAAAAAGTATTCTAAATGCAAAACTAATGATTTTAGAATTAGATAATTTTATTTAAAATGCAGAATATAATGGCTTATACACAGTCTTGAGAAGTAATAATATAAACTTTTATAATATAGAATGTCGCATGATTATTCATGTAGTCAAGATAAGTTGAATTTATTGCAGACTGGTGCTATTGGTAAAAACTCTTGTAGACGTGATTTGCAGGGGAAAGAGTCCATGTCATCCATACCTGAAATGCCATGCGAAGAGGCAGAGGAAGCCAACACTTTGTCTTCACCCCAAACTTCCGGATATATCTCGCAAGTTGAAGAGAAAAGTTTATGTTCCACGGCTGGAGAATTTAATTCATCATTTATTCCATTAGGAAGCTCCCCTATACCAAAGCCAAGCCTCATTTCCAAGGTTGGAAAGTCGAAGAAAAAAGCTAACTCCTTATCAAAGAGCAAACTTCGAAGCTTCCGGTAAGTAAAGTAATTTATGTTGTTATAAGTAATTCTTGAAATGTCTGTGATAGGTAAACTGATATCGATAAAGGGAACATTTTATGCTCTGATGAAACTATTTTGTAATTGTTAAAGAACAAAAATGTTTTAGTAAATATCAGTGAGTAAGCTGGGGGAGTAAGTAGGTGGGATCAAAATCATTTCTTATTTGCGTGTTTTGCGTACATAAAAACTACTACAGGCCAAAAATATGGTCATCTACTCAGAGCCAGATTTATGGGCTTGTTCAGTAGTGAGGTGTCTTTGCTTTCCAAGGAATATTCCAAGTCATTAATTTTTAAAAAGTACGTAATTAGGCAACCCTACATGAGGGACCACCAAATGTTCAAGTGGGATGAAACCATCGTTTCATAAATTTACCACTGAATCTGCCTAATTAATTCTGAAAATAGGTAATCTCAACAGGTCAAATAACTCTCTTGAGTGGTGCAGTAACACCCATCGGGCACACTTCTAAGAAGCTGTAATGCATTCAAATACATGTAAAAAGCCACTTAGTGATTTGAATAAATGAATTCACATGTAGCTTCTAATGTATGCAGTTTAATAACGAACGAATACATAAAAAAATTCAGGAATGAGCACAAGAACAAATAATACACTGCTGTATTATTTGTTCAAAATTCCTTTACCAAGACCAACAATAATACACTAATTAGTATCATTTCTCTGAATTTTCCTTGCACAAGACCAAAATAATATACTAATTAAGTGTATTTCCAAAATTCCTTTAAAGAGAATAATATTCTAATTATCTTAACACACTAATCACATGACTAAATTATTAAATAATCAAAATTGTCAAATATCATCCAAAGGCACGGTGGCTTTTACCGTTTTTCTAAGAAGTGAGATAAAAGTTATCGTATTGGCTGGTATAGAGGACGATGTTTTCTTTCCTTGAAGTACATTTTTCGAAATTCCTTGTAGTCTTATATCGTAATACATGCACATTATTTGAAAAATGTGTAAAGACGATCATCACTTATTTCTAAACTTTTACGATAAAAATAAATATTAGTTTTAACATCAAATTATAGTATTTAATAGACCGTTTAAATACTCTGCTTGTAGAACGGGTTCAACAATTCAGCCTTATTAGTCTACCTTATATCCAATTGTAAGGAGTATGTTAATTTTATTAACAGTTAAATTTGAATTAAACTTCCTGTCCTATCGCTTCATAATTTCAATTTACCCCTTCCGACCAGAACGTAGTTTAGAATCACGTTTGGATGCAAATCGAGGAGGAGTGGTATTTAACCGCAAAGTTCTACTGTCTTAGTCAGAGAGAACCAGAGATTCTGGTTAATAAGCGTCCGCCTTTTAGGTTACTCTCTTTTAAGATATTATTACGCTCGGCCGTACTTTAGGCTCTTGATAGCTTCGCAGTCAATTAGCGTTAAGAGGCCAACTCCCAACAACTAAATCTTATTTTGAATAATAAAGAGTCTTTTAAACCTTTCCAAGTTTATTTACTGTCTCATGAACTCAAGCGATTATTCTCTAACTAGTTCTTAAGATACTTCATATTCAACTGAGAAGTACACAGTACAGAATCTTTACACAATCATTCCGGTTTTTTTTTAAACATCATAAAAAGTAGGAGGTTGCCACTGGATGGAGAATAATAAAATTATGTTTTGTTAATTACTGCAAGGTAATATGCGTTTCCTTGCTAAAATTAAATCCATTTCAGTATTAGCTTGTTCGTATGAATGCCTTTACTGTAATTTTTGTGACCACGTGTCTTCTGCGAACATTACTAATATAAGAAATTTCAATATTTAATTACAAATAGATCAGTAACCGTGCCTTTTGTAAATTAGTTTCATATTTTTACTTGAATAAAATTGAATTTAGAGGTTAGTTTGAATTGAAGCCATCTTATACATAATTTCCTCACTTTAATTTTCCTTACTTTTATTTTTTGACTGTTGAATAGCGTACTTTGAGAACCATTGTTTAATTAGGATCCATTTGAGTATTTGTGTAGTCATTATAACTTTTATTACAGAGTTTCAGCCGAGCCGGAAACAGTGAAAGAATTTTATGAGCAAATTTTTGATGGAGATAGCTTAATAGGTTTGAGCAAGGAGGAACTTATCGCCAGAACACTGCGTATAAGGGCTCTCAGAAAGGTAAAAATATTTCCGAATAATCCTTTTGCATTTTTAAATGGATAGCATTTAATAACTGTTTATATAGTAGTCTATCATTATGAACCGTTTATGAAACTTGCATTTTCGCAAGTGTCACAAGGATATATATGAACAATAGACAGTAGGCTTCCCGAAGGCAAGAAAGGCTAACTATTTTCTACAGTTAAAAATACTGAAACATTCTTGATTTTGAGGGCGATTAGATACGGGTCCGTTTTCTTCACTCAAAATAGATAATTTTATTCAAAAATCTAGGTTTTTTTGCGTTATTTAATACTTTTATATTCTGTTAGATAATATTTTTAATGGCTGGGGCTTTGTTTTATAGTCATTAGTCTTTGAAGATTCAAATATTCATTTTAGATCAAATGCGACTAAATCAATTATAATATTTGCAATCAACAGGTATAATGTTTACTACTATTTCTTGATACATAGATATAAACACATGTGCTCACCATTTAGTTCTGCATTCAAAATAAAAGTTTACAAACCACTATAAAATCAAAAGCCAAGAAATTCATGGAAGTATAATTTTGGCTTCTTTAGAACAAACAATCTATCATGTGTTTTTGAATCTTAGCCGTACTAATGTGTACCGATAGGAGCGAAAGAGAAAGTAAATCAAGGTAAGGAAGGTAAGAAAGGTAGAAAAACAAGAGATCGGATGTTTTATGTTCCAGACATCTGGAGTGTATATATAAATTAGTCATCACTTATAAAATAATTTTTAGCTCTAAGGAGTGTTAGCTCATAAAGGTGATTAGTCTCGAAACTGCGTTTTGCGTCGGTTCACTATAAACGGCGTATCACTTTGTAAATTCTTGCCACCAAATATTATCGCCCTGTATTATATTTAAAGAATTAAGGGGTATCAGAAACCCCTATACCGACAATGTTAAATTGGCCATTTTCGGTGTACCGTTTCTCAAAATCTGCTGTAGATACAAGCTTGGAATTTTTTCTGTAATTAAAGTATACCTATCTGATTATACTGAATTGAGCTTTTGAAACATTTTGGATTTTAGAGTAAATTACAGAATATTTTGTTAGGCATAGTAAAATTTAGCACTTTCTCACACACCACACACACACACACACACACACACACACACACAACACAAAAAAAAAAAAAAAAAAAAAAAAAAAAAAAAATTAAAAAAAATTTTTTTATTACAAAAAGCTCATTTCAGTAAATATTAGGGAACCTAATAAATAAGCCATAAAAAGTTTAGATATGTGTGAGCAGTAGTTCCTGAGAAAAGGTACATCGAGTATAAAAAAACCACGTTTGGAGAAAAACGCGTTTTTACGTAAAAATCCTCATTGATCAAAGCAGTAGATGACAAATTAAAACTAGATTTTTTTACAGTTCTAGTTTTAATAGAGATTAAAGAATGGTATTTTTAGAAAGATAAAAGTGTAGAGAATTTGAAAATGCAAAAATCCGAAATCGCAATTTTTCGAAGATTTTGGGGTTCCAACACCCCTTAAATAGTGAAGAAGCTGCATGAATGTATGTATATTTCTCGCACTGTGAAAAATCAAGCAATCAGATTTTGAATAACATAATCTTCCATCCGAACACGGGCACCTGGGAAGCCCGAATTTTGAAGTTCGAATTTGTTTTTATTATCTATTATTTTGTAAAACGTTAACGAATTTTTTATTAAAAAATTCAATTATTTCAAAGCGAACAATGGTAACACTATACGAATTTTTTTTTTTTTTTTTTATGTCTAGTGCGCGAGACTGCCCATCGGAAATTCTAAAAATATGGTGTTTTTAAATATTTTGTGATATAGCAGTTGAATTTAATTTATGTGTCTGAAGTGTGAAGAACATGATATTAAAAATAGAGGTAACACACAAAACGTTAAAAAAAGCCATTTGGCCGTAATATAAAATCTGCAAGATTTCAGATTTTTAAAAAAAAGTTTTTGTATGCTGGTTTCGTTTTTTGATAATGTCTTTCTTCCGCAGGAAGTAGAAGATCGGCCAAAAGAATGAAACAAGTTGTTTTAACATTCCCCAAATCAACATCTTTTTAAATCATAATTGGTCTGATGGAGTCAACGTCGTGTTATTTCTAAATGAAAATATGATGTGATATTGATGTTTTGAGATAGTTTTATTGAAAGATGTTTGTAAAATAATTATCAGGTGCTTAAGTTCACGCTTTGTAATATTTCAAGCGATAGTTTTATTGAAAGATGTTTGTAAAATAATTATCAGGTGCTTAAGTTCACGCTTCGTAATATTTCAAGCAGGATCGTTGCTGATAATTTGCGTGATAATGCTAATTCTTAAAAAATAAGTTCTGTAATCTAAGAGAAAACTGATATAATGTATGCTGTACTGTATGTATGCTAAATAATAAAATTATGTTTCGTTAATTACTGCAAGGTAATATGCGTTTCCTTGCTAAAATTAAATCCATTTCAGTATTAGCTTGTTCGTATGAATGCTCTTTACTGTAATTTTTGTGACCACGTGTCTTCTGCGAACATTACTAATATAAGAAATTTCAATATTTAATTACAAATAGATCAGTAACCGTGCCTTTTGTAAATTAGTTTCATATTTTTACTTGAATAAAATTGAATTTAGAGGTTAGTTTGAATTGAAGCCATCTTATACATAATTTCCTCACTTTAATTTTCCTTACTTTTATGAGGGAAATAATGGTTTACTTTCTGATTTTAACTCAACCAAGTTACCAATTGCCTTTCCAACCAACATTTCAACTTAACCAATTGCCTTAGTAAGAACGTGTGTGAAATTGTTATTATGGCTTATCTCACTTGTTTGACAGTAATATTAGAAAAAACCCACGGAATTCAGTGTGGTAAGAATTTGAAAGACTGCGCAGCCTTGAGCACCCTATAGGCTCAGTTCAGTCTCCAATTTTGGGAGAGAGCTACCCCCTCCCGGGGACGGATCCGAGGGTCTCCCAACCTTACCCCCTACCATCAATCTCTCGAGAGGACTTTCGGCTCGCCACATGTTTAGAGTACGCTCATATTTTTTAATCATAATTGGTCAATTAACAAACATTTATGCCTTCTCCGGGATTCGAACCAGAGCCCTTCGGTACGGCAGTCGGCATCGCCAACCACCACCCCGATTGGGCGGCACATGTCTGGAGTAGCGACTGTAATTGTTTATTCATGTTGCGTAGTTATTAGTATCTGCGAAAGACGCTTCTATGCAAATGAAATATGGAACCTACTTCTCCAACACTAGACCTCAGGAAATAATCAAACTGTCCCATTTTGTTGTGCCTGCAGTTCGTGAATGATATAACCATCATTTCGTTCACAGAGATGGATTAATATGAGCGAAACAAAGTTAATCGTATGTGTATGTATTCCCACAACTTCAGAGCACTGCGTGAGCTTAGAATCGTAGCCGCTCATCGTGGCTGTAATTAGCAGCCGTTCATCATGCTTGCAATGGAGTGGCATGTAATTATAAGCGTTTTAAGTGTCAGGTTACTTCTATAAGAGGGTAACACGATGAGTAGAATTATATTTTATTGTTTCGCCGTGTGGAAAGGGAAGCTTTGAAGAATATTTGCTGAAGTATTTCTCCTCTATTCCATGCATGGTGAGACGCAAGGCATTCATAACAGTGCCACACCTTTATGCAGGCCGACCACTGTTATGAAATGAAACTTCGACTTACTTTTTTTTTTGAAAAAAAGGCGAACTTGCGTAAAGGTAACCGCACCCTTATAAGAAACGCTTAATTGTGATAAAACTACCCGCACCTTCATGAAAAACGACGGATTAGTATAAAAGTGCCGAAGTTTTGTCAGTTTGTTTTAAGTAGTGCTTCTTGGAAGAGGACTCGTATATTTCAACAAATTAAGCTTTATTTTCATTGAAAGGACAAATTGCTGTGAACATAAGATTAAAAAGGGTGCATATAGGTTTTTTTTTTATGTGGTATGAGTGTCGACCATTAATTTAATAAAAATGTGTATCTTGTATTAAATCTTCAGTTTTCTAACAAATATTAAATTTTCATGCATTCTAATATTTTAACTACCCTATCTGATTTTCTTTCGGCTAATCTATGTGCATGTCGATTTAAAATATGAAAGAGTTTTTACAGTTAGGAATGGAATGTTTCCAATTTCCTACCAATTTAATATTTTTCTTTTTTAGCGTTTTTCTAAATTTTTAGCATCGCGACCCTCGAGGTTTCTAGGGTAAAAAAGATGCTTTCTAGAAATTCTCTAAGAAAAACATGCTCTGTATATGAAAGACAAAGAAGAAATCCAGAAAAAATCAATATTTTGGAACTACTATTCGAGGGTTTGAAATGTCTTTTCAGAGAGTGGGTCGGCTATTTCTATAGAAGAATGCAGGCGCGCGTCTTTATGAAAAGCACCGGGTCGATGTAAGGGTACCGACGATCAGTTGATCTCCAGTTTGACACGCTGTCTTGTAGAGCGAATCTTATCGAAGATTTATGTGTTTTCGAAGAATGTTGACTTGGATAACGGCATGGCATCGTTATAAAGCGGTTCCCAATATGACAGTAAAGGCTGCGAAAGTGATTAATTCAACATTTCCTTAAGAGTTTTTTAAACCATCACCTCTGTTTTTTTATAAACCCGCGACCCCAATTGAGACACTGCTCCATAGTAACATTACAAGAAAGCTAAGGAAGAATCCTCCAAAATGAAGACTTTACTCACATGGCCTTTACCTGGACTTCAATCCAATCGACAATTTGTGGTTTGAAATGAAAAACAGATCCGAGTCACATCAACTCGAGCCCATAATTTATGGAAACTGAGATCTTCCGTTGTATTCATGGTACTATACAACGAGAGATATCTTTCATCATGTTGTTAAATCTGTGATTCATTTCTGTTTTGTTTCTTAACCGGTGAGCGGGAATATTTACGTTAATCGGTTAAAATGTTTAGTGCCAAGTTATATCAGTTTTTCTATAAATTTTATATAAAGTTTCAGTTTGAACTTTGGATGTAAGATTTCCTTTGTTTTTGTCACAAAGAGCATTAATTACGAGCTTCCTCAATTATCTCTGTTACTTTACTTCGGAACTTCGTCATTTTTTGCCTTCCGAATTTACTCGTAACGATGGTAGCTGTTATTTGATACAAAAACGCAACTCCGACTCAACTCAGATCCCCCCTTGCTTCAACAACTGGAAAGTTGGTGTCAACGTCAGCCATGGGTAGAAGGCTTCACGAAGGAGGTCTGTACACGAGGCGACCAGCCATTTGCATTCCGCTCACGTGCCCTCATAGAAGGGAACGTTTGAGGTGGGCATATCAATATGTCCACTGGATGGCTATGAATGGAGGGTTGTTCTCTTTATAGGCGAGTCCAGGTTTAGCGCCCAAAGTAATAGCAGGCATTATTTGATTTGAAAGAAACTGGAACCCGATATCGTACATCAAACATCCGTGAAAAAGGTGCGTATGGAGGAAGCAGTGCCTGTGTTTGTGGTGGTATCTCTTTGGATGGATGCACAGACCTCCATGTCTTTCCACGTGGAACCATGAATGCTGAGGCCTATTTATAGAAATGACGTCCTTGATGCATATGTGTGACCTTATGCCACGCAATAGGGATGATTTCCGGCTACAGGACGACAACGCTATACCGCACAGGGGTCGGTCGCATCGTGGGTGATTATCTTCAGTAGCAAACTATTCAGTGCATGGAGTGGCTAGTTCGATCACCGGATCTGAAACTTATCGAACGTGTTTGAGTTGCTTTCAGAAGATATATAGGTGCTCTGAATCCTCCTCTTCAGACCCTTGCGACGCTTGCAACTGCTTTGCAAGAGCAATGGCTGTCACTTTTGATAGACCACATAATGACAGCATCACACATCGCTGTATGTGCTATATTGCTTTTAGGAAAAATTTTACTCCATATTGGAGGAATTTCCCTGTACCAATCTGACACATCTGGTTTGTTCATTTTATGCATATGCTAATTTCAATAACACCACAATTGTCTGATAATTTCTTTTCATGTTATACCTTACTATGTGTTGTATAGGGACAGTTTCATTAAAGTCTACGTGTAATGAGCAATTTTGAGCAATCGTAATTTTTCCTTAATTAATGATAACCAGTGTAGTATACAAGGTATTTTCTCTTTGCTTTCCGTTTGCCTTCGCGGGGGAAGCACGCTCGACGCGTATTCGGGATGTCTGAATTTCGAATACCGGCAAGGTTATTGCACATTTTTCACATTTCTGTATTGATATAACCTAATGACTGTACAAGTGAAAAAGTAAATTTTGTTTTTTAATTTTAAAGCAATAAAAAAAGAGGTTAAAAATTTTGAATATTTTTGGTAAGATATAAGACAAACTGTTCTGGCGATGGTTTTAACATTCAAGAATTACATTTTGAATTTTTTTTTTTTTTCGTTGATTCTAAAGTTATCACTATAAATATATATTTAAAAGATATACTTCTGGTAAAGCTATTCTAAGAATTAGAATTTCAGAAAGACTGAAACGTAAAGAAAGAAAGGCAAATGAAGGTGATTGAATTATTGATTTAAGAATCTATGTATATTCTATAAAATTAAGACATCGAAATTACTTTAACCAGGGATGGAAAGCTTGTTCGTTGCTGTGAATGAAAATAAATGCAAAACAGCTGTCATATTCGCGAACTTTAACACATTGAAGTCTCCTGAGCTATCTGATGAGGTGAAGCAAAAGTAAGAAAGAAATGAAGATACTACGAAATTTTATTGCACCTAAGGAAATTTCAGTCAACGATGGAAACATGTTCGGACAATTTTAGAATAAACAAATGGTTTCAGTATGAGAATCGTATTCAGTTTGCATTAATGTTGCAATGTATATAGAATTATTAATCTAAATGAAAATTATCATGGATTCTGAGGCATTAACTGTGGCAGATTATTGCAAATTTTATGAAACGAAACCATTGCTCTTGTTAAAGTATGTGATATTTTCCGTTAAAAGACAACACGCACCCTAACAGTTTTCTATAGAAAGATTCGTATGCCAACAGTGCCTATTGAACATGGTTAAGCGAAACGTATTATTGTTATCTGATACCTCTTGCTTTCAAAGTGAAGTGTAGTGAATATTTTTTTTTTTTTTTTTTTTAAGTATGGCATTCTATTTAGTTTTCTGCTTATCGAGATCATTAATCTACAAGAGAAATTTCTTATGTTTAGAAAACTTTTAGCTCGATCAAAATGAACTGATTATGAAAATACGTTTTCTAGTTGAAAATGTCCAGTTGGCAAATATATCATTCTGGAGAAAATTGTTTGGTTGTCATACAAACGAAAAGATCTAACATTTTCAAGGGAGGAAAATGGAACATACTAATTAAATGTTACTAAATGCGTTTCAA